AAGGCGCCTTTCGGGGACAGGGCGGGCTTGCGAGCTGCAGTAGGAAACCCTGAGTTTACAGGGCGCACGGTGCAGGGAGGCTCCTCTATTTTGGAGGTGACTTTTGTCGGAGATCCGGTCCTTGGGTCCTTGCGCGCTTCTCGGGTGCCAGGGTGCGATACTTGCGGAGGACCAGGGGAGCGCCTTACCTGATGGGCAGGGGCAGAGCAGCAATGATGGGCGCCGCTAGGGTCGGCACAGGCACCAGATGGGGAATTTGGGGCCACTCGACGAAGTGGCTCCCGCAAACCAGATACCTTCTCTGATGAGGCTCTGGGAGAGAGACAGCATCCAGAGGATGCTCGCTGGCGGGAAAGAGGGCTCCTCCTGGGTGCTTTGGCGCAACACTGATTCTTTCTCATTTATTCCTCCAACTCCCACCCCCAAATCCTGGATGTGGGGCCCCAGGAGGCTGGCTTGGAGGGAAAGCCATACTGGCTCAGGGCAGAGGCAACGGAGGACAAACAGTGGAGACACACGGAGAGAAAAAGCGGTGCCAGGTCTAATGAATTTCAGTGAGCAAAGGCCATATTCATACCCCCGTCGGTGACTGGCGTTAATGATGGAGCGTGCAGAAAATGTCACCAGGAAAGTCTTTGCAAAAAGACATCATCTCGAAAGCTTTATAGACCGGGGACCCCCACGCGGCGTATCCTGGTTCAGAAAGCCGCGGCTTCTGTTAAATCTAATTACTTCCCCCCTGTGGCTTTAAATCGACAGCGGCTCCTATTAAACTTAATTACCCTCCCCTGCAGCTTTCCTTTTAAAGACCCTGGATAAATTCGGGGCACTGAGGAGGGTGGCAGAGGCTGCACTGGGGGCCGTGCCCCAAATCTGGCTGGGGGAGGAGAGCAGTGGGGAGGAAGGGGGGACGACAGCCTCTGGTTCCACCCCTATCCCTCTGCTGCCCCTCCTGAGGCCATGTGGGAAGAGAGTAGGCACAGTGACCAGGGCTCAGGAAGCTGGTAAAAGCGGCAGCTTCCTACGCCCGGGCCCTGTGCTAAGCACGGGATGGGTGTTCTCGGCTTAAACCTCCGCGGCACCTGCCCGCCGCGTGGAACAGAGGGGGCCCCAGAAGCGTGTTAGCGTGACCCCAGGCTGCACCACCTGTAAGTGGCGAACCTGGAATTTGAACCCAGGCAGTCGGACTTGTCAATCCAGGCCGAGCCGAGTTTCAGAGGTGGTGTGGCCTCCTCGCAGGGGCGCGGGCTCCAGGGTCAGACCCTGTGCGGCACAGATCCACGCCGGGCCACCCCCTGGGCAGGTCATGAACCTTCTGGGCCTGTTGCTTCCTCCTGCCCGCTTTCAGCCTTGTCCTGGGTCATCGGGGAGAGTGGACACAAAGTGCTACGAGAGGGACGGAGGAAAGGCGGCGCTGGCCAGCAGGGGGCGCCGCTGCCACTGTCGGGCTCTCCAGGTGAGAGCAGGGACCGCGCTGGAGGTGAGGACCAGCTCCAGAGCCGCTCAGGGCAGGCCCGCCTTCTGACTCGCGCTGGTGAGCAGAGCGGACAGCCAAGCAAGATCCAGTCACCCCGATGCCCCTCAGCCCACGCAGGGGCCCAGGGGTCTCAGACCCAGATGACCAGAAGGGCCTGGTTTGGCGGCTTTGTTCTGGACTTGACGTTAGCTGGGATCTTTTAAACTGCCCTAAGTCCTTCTCCTGGGGCTTCCCGCCTTCATCTGAGCTTGTTGGAGTTGTTCCTTCTGATCTTGGTGTAAATGAGAGATTCTCCTCATTTCTAAACCCACTTCCCCACAGCTAAGAAAATCTTGTTTAGCATCACTTCAGTCTTTGCATTGTGAAAGTAATGGCTTTTCTTTTCACTTTATGGTTGGAAATTTACGTTACAATGTCAGACGTGCCTTCTTAAGTACACAAGCACTTCCCTGTGCCCTTCCCAAATCCCCTGCCCCCGCCCCATGATTGAGAAGTATTTTGTAATTACACAAACTTCTGTTTTCATCAGAAAAAAAAATACGAACTTTGGGGGCAGAAAGTACTGTGAAGACTTGGGTGGGGGTGGGGGCCATGCCATACAGCTAGTTCTTGGCCTCGCTGAGACTGGAACGTGGGGCACCTGGGTCTCAGCCCCATATTTGTGCTAGAATCTTCTAGAACATGCTTCATTTTCCCCAAAGCATTCTTCACCAAGGCCCATTTTTTTTTCCTCTGTTAGGATTCCTATTCTAAAAAGAGGGCATCCCACTAGCCCAGAAATTGGCAGAGGCCATGTCAGAGCAGAAAAAGGAGTCTCCATTTATTTGTGAAACAGAAAAACGAGTGCTTTCAAACTCCAGGAGAGTTAATATGAGAATGGGAAAAGATACGTCGCGAATGACTATGTATAAAACAGATGAACAACAAGGACCGACTGTAGAGCACAGGGACTACACTCAGTTCCTTGTAATGACCTACAGTGGAAGAGAGTCTGAGAAAAACGTACACATGCAGGTGTGTGTGTAACTGAGTCGCTTTGCTGTGCATCTGCAACTCACACTGTGCATCAACGACACTTCAGTAAAAAAAAATTTTAAAAATTAAAGAAAGAAAAGACCCCTCTATCGACTGAGGGATCGGTGTCTATGCAGGGCCCACCCCGCGTATGTGGGCATGTAACAGGCAAGGTATCTATTTACAGGCCGCCCTCTGGCTATCTTTGCCACATTTATTTATCTTAGAATGCAGGGGGAGGACATAGCTCAGCGGTAGAGTACGTGCTCAGCATGCGTGAGGTCCTGGGTTCAATCCCCAGGGCCTCTGTTATCAATAAATAAATACACCTAATTGCCTCCATCCCCCCCAACAAAACAAAGTTTTTTTTAATGTAATGATAATACTAGAGAAAAGACAAATCTAATGTATAGTGACAAAACGCTGGCTGCCCGGGGCGGGAGGTGGGTGGGGCTCTCCTGGAGAGGCCCAGAGGAATCTTTCTGGGCTGGTGAGAATTCTTTTTCTTGACTGCTGTGAGTAACAGGCAGTGACATTTGTCAAAACTCATTGAACGGTGCCCTTGAAATTAGGCAGCATTTTATTCTAAATTATGCCTCTGTAGAGTTGATTTTGAACATTTTCGTTGCAAAAGCAGAACTTGTTCCTGGCTGAAAGTTTGGAAACTTTGGGAAAGCACCAAGGACCGTTTTGAAACCTGGAGCGTTGTGACTGCGTTACTAGCCGCTGGCTACTTGGGTGAATTTCTTCCTCACACTTTTCAAAGTGTGTGTATATGTATTTTTCTTTTCTTTTCTTTTTTAAGTTTCTGAATTGTATCCTCCTC